TGTCCTTGGTGAGTAGCTCATGTACGTTGCTTTCTCTATGCAATTCGTAAACTTTATTGTCGTAATATTCCTTAATCGCGACAACAATTTTGCCTCCTACGTCCGATTTCGTGCTTATTATGCTTTTGTCATTTTTTAGCTCAAACAAAGCATAATCTTCTTGTCATGCCATTCTTATTGGGCAAAAATTCTTTGATGACATCTGGTAATAAACTCATATGACAGTAAAGTTCCTGATTGTAGTTGGATTTTCCTAGGAATTTATCAAAGATGCATAATGAAGAATATGATTAAAGGTAGCTTAAAGGGCAAAATTTACCCTCAACCTTACTAATCATATACTATTATGTTTATTAAATTGTTTGTCATACAACTTGATAACATCGTTGGGAAATGTGTACTTAGGCCTAACATTGTGACTGCAGTATTGTTGGGTGTTCTATCGAGGGATCTTTAAGTTACTTTTTAGAACATGGAGAGTCTGTCGCTGAAGTTGTGGGAATGTTTTATGGGATCATCTATTTCAGGACTGTGTTTTTTTCTGTGCTAAAAGTCTATCTAATTTAAATTTTTAATCCTTGAAGTATATCCTTGAGACATTGTTCAGTGTAAGGTGGGAAACACTGCTCAAATGTGCCACTGGCTTGGCGTAGTCCTAACGATTTATGGCAGATATATTCTTTGATATATTCTTTAATGAAGCTCCATTTCACTTTTGTTTTTGATTGCTGAAGTTAGAGTGGATTCTTAACTACGGAAGATAGTTTTGATCAGAGTACACAGAGGTGAGAATTGCTGTTGAGGTGAAGTCATCGTTAGGTCAAATGTGGTTTATCAGATTATAATAAACTGTTGTCAAGGGGAGAGAAAAACCAACGTAGTAAAAAACAGGTAGGACTGGATTTCGGTATATTTCTCACCTCCAACTAAGGTCCTCCTCAGCAGACTGAAAAGTATAAAAAGGGAGCTGGTATTTATAGAAGTAGGAAGAGTAGGCGTCTTATTGCAGATTCAGAAAAAGCATGAGTAAGTGGAGCTTCATATTGTCAGGGAGAAGCTTCATGAAACCTCCAGGTGCTTTGATAGCATCTCAGGTAAGGCTGCCCTTATGTAGAGATGAAGGAGGTATTTGGCTATAGCTTAGTGAGTGCCCGAGATGCCTTGATTATATCACAGGGCAAGCTATCCCTTTTTTTTTTTAGAGACGAGAGTGTCTGACCTACTCTTGTATGACTGTCCAAGATGATTTTATAATTGGTGAGCTGCTCTTAATTAGGGATGTGAGGTTGTCTGAGCTATTCTCGTATAAGGGCCTAATTTATCTAGGTGCTGGAATGTTTTTATGCGCATATTGTAGTTATATCGTCTACTCGAAAAATTTCTTTTCGAAATGTTTAAGCTTAGTTTTCGTCTTCGGATCACCCCGATAGAAACACCGCAGGAAAGGTCTAGTATTTTGGGAGCCTTCCTTCCCAAAGTATCGAAGTCATAGATCTGGGTTTGAAATAGAGTCATTATATACTGCAAACCATTACAGATATATAGAAGGAAAAAAAAGAGTTTTGAGATCAGTCTGCCAAAATCTGTATATACATTATTGTTTTATCCATTCATGCACAAAGTTCTCTGCGTCAGTGTGAGAGAGGTAATTAGCGAATCTCGGGATCTCCTTGAAAGACTCAGCAAGATTCACAGCAACTTTGTAGGTGTAATCGCGAGAAGATGGTGGAGGTCAGGTGGTGGAGGCCTGTTAGTGAAGTCCTGGTAGTTGAGACCAATTAATAACGGACAGGTAGTGGTGGATAGGCAGGTGCACAAGCTGTAAAGGGAAGATAGGGCCACTGGTGGTGGAAATGGTGAGCAAGGTCTTTAGCGGGAAAAATGTGGAGGCCAGGTAGTGGCAGAAGTGGGTGAGACCATGTGATGGAGGCCAGGAATTAAAAAAAGCAGGTGGAGACAAGGTATTGTTAGTGGTGGTGGGCGGCAGGTAAAGAATGAGGTCACTCCGGTTTGACATTTTTGACACCCTGACAGTCAACATGGTCAGGTAACACACATGAGAGAGAGAGAGAGAGAGAGAGAGAGAGAGAGAGAGAGAGATCCTTGGAGAGTCAGCGGGTGACGAGTTGTGCTGAGAAAGATTGTGAGTGTGACCTGAAAGATCTTGAGTGCGACAAACAAAGCCTTAGTGTGATTTCCTTAACAAACACATCAAGCAGTGCAGGGCCAATATCTAGAAAATAGACTAAGGCCCTAGTTCTAGGATAATCTAGAGACGCTAACAACTGATATCAGTGGTGCCTGCTAGATGTAAACATAACATAAGCGACGAACTAGCGTAGAATTATAAATAAAACTTTGCTTTTCAAACCCTGTGAAGGAGTTGTACCCGCGGCCGTAGAACTTGAGGAGGAGGAGGAGGCGGCGGCAGGCCGGTTCCGGTAGCTTCCGAAGTAGATTCTTCGCCGGGGAGTCAGTTGGATCCATGACTGCGCGTCCACTGCGCCAGTGAGAGAGGTGTTAGCTGCATAGCTGACACCGCAAGCCCATGGGGCTGCGTTGTGTCATTTACCACTGGGATAGGAACATGGGGGAGGAAACATAAAAACGGGAAAAGAATGGAGAGAGAAAGAGGATTATGGAAGAGGAGGGGATAGGCGAGGGAAGTGAGAGTAAGGAAAGAGGTGGTAGGTGAGGGAAAGGTGTGAAGAAAGGCTGTGAGGCATTCAAGAAACTGAAAGGTGCGTGAGAGGTAAATGGCGATAGGAGATTGAAAATATGAGAGAAACGAGAATTTTGTAATGCACAGGGAAGGGGAAGAATGGATAAGGAAGGTTGATGGGTAATAAATCAGGGCTTATTGCAGCAAGAAAGACTTTTACTGGAGATAGAAATCGATAGCAAAAGAATAGGTTACTACTCGTATCAGAGAGACAGTTGTGTGTGTGTGAAAGAGAGAGAGAAAAAAAGAGAGCAGATAACAACGTAAGATCAAAGGGATAAGGATAAAAGATCATTTAAGAGTTAGGTGGTAACATTGACACCATCATTTATTAAAGTGTTATATTGCCCGCCAGGGGCAGTATCACTCCAGTACAGAGAAATAAAGTGGATGAAGTATAAATACTGGGTCCAAGGTTAAGTGCTATTTGTGGAGTTGGAAACTACGCGACGACTGTTTCTGTTTCAGCAGATTGAGTCTGGCGAGAACATATGAAATAATGTGAAATAAGAGCAGATTTTAAATACCTTCTGCTTAGTTTCTCTGATGCCAAATTTGGCGCCTTCAAGTTCAAGAGATGGTTGTCGGAGCTTCGGTGTATAATAGTGCAGCCGTTGCTTGAACCGATTCTAGCATGTGTTTTGCTGTTCCACAATGCATTGTCCCAAGCTTCTAAGAGCCTATCCCACTTATTGTTTGTCGCGTTCAATACGAAAGATAATGTAAACGCTAGTGCTAATTTCTATGGAATGTGTTTTTCACTTAGTTACTAAGTTTTTGATTGTGTTAAGTGTGATGCTAGCTATACTGGTTTCACTCTTCTTGGGGTTCGAGAGGTTGTCTACAATCTGCCTGACGAGAAGTATTAACGATCTGTCAAGCGACCGTTTTTGTCGGTTAGTGTGGGTGATTCTGTCGGCTTTTCTCCTACAATTGTTGCGAAGTGTGCTGGGTTTAGTAAAAGCTTAGTATATGTGGTTGTATTCCTCCTCGACGACAACAGGCCTGGAAATCCTATATGCTCTCAAATAGACCCCTGTGATGACTTCTCTCTTTATCCTCTCACTATGGGGTGACAAGAAGTGTAACTGGTCCTTTTAGTCAGTGAGCCTCCTGTAGACGTTGAAATCTCTTTTAGAGTCGTTCCTGCAAAGTTAAATGTCAAAATAGGAAGGCAACGATTACGTTCTCTCCACATGGTGAATTTCATTAAAGAGTTCAGTGGAGTGCGGTCGTCAGGGCACGTCAACTAGGACGTCGTCCACGAAACGCGTGTCCCCTCTAGGGAGGTTCGTTGATGCTGGTTGGGAACTCTTGGTCTAGGGAATTGGATCTCTGCTCCAGTTCCCTGAATTGGGCCTGAATACCTTCCATCCCCACAAGCGCTGTATAATGCCTACGGGTTTAGCTCTCCCCCATGATTATACTAATTATAATGTCCACGAAACGCAGCAGCGTGATTCCAGTGGGAAGGTGAGGCTTCATTCTCTCGTCCTCGAGGTGCTCCACGGAGAGGCTAGCCAGGACCACACTACGGGGTGAGACCTTGGCCAACCCAGAGGATACCTCGTACGCCAGAAGCCTATGGACACGTAAGAGAACGCCCATACGCATGCTAAAGAGACAATTTTATAAAACAAAACGCTTGCAATATGCACCTCTAAATTCCTGCAGCCATTTAATAAACTTTAAAGACGCTAAATTAGTCATCAAAGGAAACAGGTGAGCACCACAGGTGCTGATTATAATTTGCTCTTATTGCCATTTAAAAACACCACCACACAAAAATCTTGCATTTTTTCCACATCAAATGTTCTTGCCAGACTCATCGTGCCCAAACCCGACAAGACCCAGCTCTCTCATCCACCACCTGACCTTCGATCCACTTTATTCATTCTCTTTACTGAATTTCTCAGTGTTGGGTCTGATGAAGTCCCAGACCAACGACACGTGTTAAAAAAGTCGTAACACTACTTTTGTGTTTTACAAATTATGAAGAGTTGACATGAGAGGGTAGATAACCAGGAAATAGATAAGAAAAAACAAGAATGTGATGAAAACGATGAGGGCCGAAGCAGACGGAGAAAGATTAGGAAAAGGAAACGAGAAGGAAATCAGGAGAATGACAGAAAGACGGGAACAGAAGTGAAAAAAGAGGAGGGCTGGAATAAGAGGCTCAGCAGGAGCAAGAGGAAAGAATTAAGCAATGGCTAAAAAAAATCAACGATAATATCAGCAGCATGCAAGTTACAAGTCATAATGATTACATGTTTACTAGTCACATGGGAGGCTGGCTCCTCCTGTACACACAAGACAGAGGACCCGCTCACATCACAGAGAGAGCGAGAGAGAGAGAGAGAGAGGAAAAGAGAGAAAGAGAGTGAGCAAAAACAACTCACGCAGCAAAAGAGGAAGGAGTAAAAAGAAAAGATTTAACGAATGTGAGAGCAAGAGAGAAAGAGAGAGGTTCGAAACCCACCGACAAAACACATACTATCATACAATCAGACGCGGGTTTAGTGACAGTGAGTAAAAAACATATGTGAGGAATATGTAATTAAAATTTTTTTAGCGATCATTTCCGTCATTATCATTAATGACATCAACAGCATTTTTATTTTGTGCTTTGCTACTATAAAGATTATTATTGTTAATATTATTATTACTATTATACTATTATTATTGTTATTATTATTAATGTTACTATAATTATTATTTTTATTATTATTGTTATTTATATTAATGTTACTATAATTATTATTTTTATTATTATTGTTATTTATATTAATGTTACTATAATTATTATTTTTATTATTATTGTTATTTATATTAATGTTACTATACTTATTATTAATATTATTATTAATACTATTACTCCGTTGTCCCACTATTTATATTCTTCCGTCATTTACGTCGTTTACATTAAAAGTTTTATAGTTTATTATTATTATTATTGTTATTATATTATATATATAATATATATTATATATATATATATATATGAGAGAGAGAGTTAAAGCTAAGGAAGGGGTAACAATAATGTTGAAGGATCAGCCATGGAAGGAAAAGAGGGAATATAAATATATAAATTTGACTGGCAGTGATTGGCAGAGAGCATGCATAGTTCCTTTGCATAAAGGCAATGGAGACAAAAAAGAGAGCAAAAATTTTAGGGGAATAAGTACGTTGAGTACCTGGTAAAGTGTATGGTAGATTTATAATTGAAAGAATTAAAAGTAAGACGGAGAGTAGGATAGCAGATGAACAAGGAGGCTTTAGCAAAGGTAGGGGGGGTGTAGCCCAAGTGTTTACAGTGAAACATGTAGGTGAAAAGTATTTAGATAAGGGTAAAGAGGTTTTTGTGGCATTTATGGATTTAGAAAAGGCATATGACAGGGTGGATAGGAGGGCAATGTAGCAGATGTTGCAGGTGTATGGTATAGAAGGTCAGTTACTGAAAGCCGTGAAGAGTTTTTACGAGGATAGTGAGGCTCAGATTAGAATATGTAGGAGAGAGGGAGATTATTTCCCAGCAAAAGTATGGTTGTTCAATATATTTATAGATGGGGTTGTAAGAGAAGTGAATGCTCGGGTGTTGGCACGAGGTGTGGGGTTAAAAGATAGAGACTAACACAAAGTGGAAGTTATCACAGTTGCTCTTTGCTGATGACACTTTGCTTTTGGGAAATTCTGAAGAGAAGTTGCAGAGGTTGGTGGATGAGTTTGGTAGGGTATATAAAAGAAGAAAATTAAAAGTGAATGTAGAAAAAAGTAAGGTGATGAGGATAACGAAAAAGATAGGTGACGAATGATTGGATATTAGATTGGAGGGAGAGAGTATGGAGGAGGTGAATGTATTCAGATATTTAGGAGTGGACGTGTCAGCAGATGGGTCTATGAAGGATGAGGTGAATCATAGAATTGATGAGGGGAAAAAGGTGAGTGGTGCACTTAGGAATCTGTGGAGAGAAAGAACTTTGTCGATGGAAGCAAAGAGGGAAATGTATGAGAGTATAGTTATAACAACACTCTTATACGGTTGTGAAACATGGGTGGTGAATGTTGCAACAAGCAGAAGGCTGGAGGCAGTGGAGATGTCATGTCTGATAGCAGTGTGTGGTGTGAATAGAATGCAGAGAATTCGTAGTTATGAAATTAGAAGGAGGTGCTGGATTACCAAAACTATTATTCAGAGGGCTGAGGAGGGGTTGAGGAGGTTTGGACATGTAGAGAAAGTGCAAGGAAATAGAATGACTTTGAGAGTGAATGAATCCATAGTGGAGGGAAGGCGAGGTAGGGGTCGGCCTAGGAAAGGGTAGAGGAAGGGGGTAAAGGTGGTTTAGTGTGCAAGGGGCTTGGACTTCCAGCAAGCATGCGTGAGCATGCTCTTCCCTCCCACACCCACTTTCCTGTAACAACGAACTTCTGCTTAACACTTTAACACTACATTCTTAAACCTACCCCATACTCCATTGCCAATACTCTCACTAGCCTATCTATTCTCCAATAGTAGTTTATGTATTACCTTAACTGCCTCTACCTTTCGCTTATAAACCTTCACCTCTCTCTTACCTGATGATTCAGTTTTCCTTGTATCCCACCTACTTTTTACTCTCACTGTAGCTACAGCTAAAAAGTGATCTTATATATCTGTGACCCCTCTACAAACATGTACATCTTGAAGTCTACTCAACTGTTTTTTATCTACCAATACGTAGTCCAACAAACTACTGCCACTACGCCCTACATCATATCTTGTATATTTATATATCCTCTTT